CACTTAGATTGCTTTTCTTTGATGCTGCTGCCAATTCCATTCACAAGCGTATAAAAAAAAGGTCATGACATTTAGAATAACAGTACTCTGAAAATTAAATGTTCCTTTACATTTTTAATTTCTGAAAGTAATTTATTATGGAATAATATTTGAATATGATTGAATGAATGGGTAAAGATTAATGCAAAGCTGCCTTTAAATTGAAGTTCGCAAGCACATATGTTTAACCCTGTTGCACAATAGGTATAGAAAAGTTTATGCAATAATTCAAGGAGCTGCAATTCCATTTTGCTGGAAGCGCTTGTAGTGTAATTCTCTTTAGTATTTTTTCACTCACATTCCTGTGTGAGGCATTAGCTTCAGGTCTCTATCTATTTCTCTTTAACAATATGCTTGTGTTTGAATGGATTTCACAAACTCGGTTTCTAATAAGGAACGGGCTATAGGGTATCATCTGTCAACACAATTCTTTTATATGAATCCAGTGCTTGAAACCCCATTTGAGAAAATAAATTAATCTGAGAATCTTTCTGCTGTTTATACCAGCACAGCAGGATAATGCTAATTATATAATTGTACTGCATGAAGAAAACTAAAGCATTCATCTTTCATACATGACTTCATACAGCTCTTCTTTCACATCAAAGAAAGCCAATGTCCAGGGAAAAGTCAGGAACAACAACTTCTCGCTCAGAATAAAGATGGGAGAATACAACGTTAACCCCAAACTCGGATTGCACCTTTTATTGAAAGTCTGAAATACTGCCATTAACGAGAGAAAACCATTTGTTTTTGTACTCTAATGATTCTGTGACCAGAGACGCTTCATGGTAGTCAGCTGGTCCACATGTCATGATCAGATACATCTCATGGGTATTAGCTTGGCTAGAACTCAGAGCATATTACTGCAAAAGCACAGGTGTCCACCACTTGAGCTAATGGAGAATGCCCATGAAATGTAGAAGTACTAAGGCTTTTCTCTTCTGAAGTCAGCAATGAAGCGTTCAATATCCTCACACAAGCCTGAGCAGATCTGACTACTATCCACTCAGTGAATGACCAACACACACTGCAGATTCCCTTTTTGTATACTGCTAAAATTGTACCTGGGGTATAATTGATACTGGCATATGGGGCTTATTCCCATGCTCGAGCAGAAACATTTTGTGTGGGAGCCTCTTGTTAAAAGATTGACAGCACACGAACGATGAGCTGAAGATGACCTGAACCTTAATGAGCCAAAGTCAGAGGTCATGTGTAAGAAACTGGGTAAATCCAAGGATGTATTAATTGGTGTAATAGGCACATTGAAGGGTCTTGAGGAAAATTTAAGAGATATGCCTATATCTCTTGTGAAGCCATGGAGGATTGCCCACTAACACAATGGTTCAGTTTGGCTCTCTGAGTTTATAAGCATAAGGCCAGATTGTGCAGCTGCTCTGCTTGTGGTACAATGAAGCTCGGCGCGTGGAGTGGCTGCAGAATCAGAAGGGTAGGCCTCTAAAGACAAACTCACTCTCTAGACAGCTATGACTGACATTGCATCTCTTAAAATGTAGTTTCTACTGGCTAATTTTCAGAGCTCCTGCTAACTTAAGAAGAAAACATCTGTTTAACCTGCCACCCAACGATACGGTGATACAGTAGCAGTTGTCAAAAAGAACTGTATTATCTTTCATTCAAATTATGGTGCCAGCGATGACTCTCATGATATTTTCATTTGTATCTATTCCTGGAGCACCCTTCATGGCTTTTGATCTCCTGGATTTTCCAAGGATATGCACAGGGCACGCCTACAATAATACACACCTGCTCAGTAGCTCAATGCTTCAGTAAATTATATAAACCCACCAAGGGTCAAATTCTGGCTAACACAGAGAAACCGATTTCCACCTTCTCTGCCCACACAAACCAGCACATGTAGATGCTGCAAAAGTGGCACTAATATGTACCTGTAGCCTGCCTTATGAGCAGTTCCTTTGCACATATTGTGCACGCAGGAGGAGACCATTCCTGTGCTTGAGCACTCATGTTCACATATACATACTGACTTCATTTCCCATGTGGCCATATCCCCCCACGTTAACTAGAGAAGACCTACAGATTGGTCTCTCCATGCCTTTCTGGGTAGGTCAGAATCTAGGCAGTCATTGAACTAATCTAATGTGTTCTTACCGCTGTCACCGGTTCACTGCCCATTGTCAACCAGAATTTGGCCTCAGGAAGCAGCAGTCAGAAAAGTAGTTGTGTAGATCACCCAAGCCCTAAAGTTAATGCTTTGCATGCGGAGTTAAAAAGTTTGAAAGACAAGCAAAACAATAGTCTAGACTGAAGAATACATACATCCTGTCAAATCGGATTGATCAAGATAAGGTTTATTAGAATTTTTTCTGTTGTCTGAATGAAATTGTAAGCTTAAAATGTCACTGAAGATTTATTAATCTGATACTATATCTGATAAGGGCAACGAAGAGTCATATAGGGAGCAGATTATTAGAAGACAAGTGTGTGTGTCTGTGAAAGAGAAAGAAAGACAATATGAATTTATCAGTGAGTATTCTGTAAACAAATAATTCAGGCCACATAAAGCAATATTGAAATTATACATTGTATTACAGAATCTCGCCAGCTAAAATGTTTCATCTAAGTTTGATCACTGCGCAGAAAAAATACTGATGCCTTCCAAAAGAGGGAATAAAGCTGAGTTTTCAAAATCTTAGCTGGAGAATGATGCCTCATTGTTCTAGAAAGAAGATAAATCTTTCCAGAGCAGTCATTAAATGTGTAAGTTTACTTTGTGTTGTTGGAGGAATTTTCAGATAAATAAAAACTGCAGTAATATGAGTATTGCTAAACAGAGCAGTCTCAGTACAAGTTATTCTGGTTTTATGTGGCAAATCCTATAGTCTCTATGGAAGGAAAACTCCCACTGATTTCAAATTGAGTTTTGCCTGCATAAAGGAAAGTACTGCAGGATTTGGTCTTTCGTGTGTAGTTGAATAGGCATCTGTGTGTGTGTGCGCGTGGGGTGTGGGGGGGAATTATGTATGCAAATTATGGCTATATGCACCAAGACTTCAATTCTGTTCAACGTCAAGCCTGTGAATAGTCTTACTGGAGTTAATGATGAAGCATGTGGTTAACTTTCTGCAGGATCAGAGCCTTAGTGTGAAATTCACCCTGCTGCCTAGCACCTGCACAAGGCTCTCTGCAGCGCATAAACTCTTAATGTGAGGCTTCTGTTACAGGGAAGCCCTAAAGCTGGCTTTCTGCACTGGCTTTTCAGTGGCTTTGTGTGAAAATAGGTGGCAGCAGTCCAGAGCCTAGTTCCTACCAGCCAGGTGTCTGCACTACAACCAGCACCCTTGTTAGCAATCTCAGCAGAAATGCCAGAGGATGGAAAGACCACAGAGGCCTTCTTTACACTATGATTTTGTTCTTAACATTCCCCATTGTTACTATCACTGGTGCAGCTGCACAGTGGGAAATAATATTATAGACAGGATGCCACCTATGTTGGCCTGTTAAGCACTACATCCTCTAAGGAGGATTAGACAACAGTATAATTAAAATGCTAATGGACACCTGCAGCCCCGCTGTTGTTGCTCCCCCGTGTGGAGCTGCACCGTTAAGAAAAAAAAAGTCCAGTGGGGTCACAGCCAGAGAGAAAGCTCCTTTTGCTCTGTCTCTCCAGAAGAGGGCTGAAGCATGTTGGCAGGGCAGTTGTGAGAAGCTTGCACTGTTGCTGCCGCTGCCCTGCCATCTCTGTCTCATAGTTAGATAGGACTTAAGCTCCTTTTGTAAGCACCAATTCCCTTCACCCTGGACCATTCCTATACGGTTCATGATTGCTGAGGTGAGGGGAATTAGCCCATGAAACCTGCAGATGTTTTCAGATCTATGCATGGATCTCATGGCAGCAGCCAGAGGGAAGAGCCATCCATGTGGGGACCTTTACCTTTAAGTTTCTCTGTACAATAATTCAGCATCAGTCGGCTACTGTACTAGAACTGTCGCAGTGTCAACCAGCCAATCTCTCAAATACTCGTGTCTGTACAGCTTTAGGCCTCCTTACTGAATCTGTCACATAACCCCCATTCAGCTACTAGTACTAGTTTTATAAGGAAAAAGGCCGCCTTGAGAGAACAATAAAGTCTCATATATTATCTTCTAATATAAGAAGATCATCAGGCCAACTGCCTCCCAAGTGACCCCTTGTGGCCTGATGTCACTCTGTGGCAGCCCTGCCTCAGTTTCCCCACTTTTCAGGGCTATCTCAATCAAACTACCAAACAATTCTTCTCTGGGGTAGCACACCCCTCCTTGGGGCTGGATTTATTAACATAATAAAATTATTCCCAAAAATCCTTATCAAGGCCATTCTCCCAGTCTCTACCCTGCTTGGCATCTCCCAGGCCTTCCCTACCTGGAACCCTTTTCCCTGTAGACTCAGGGCTCCCTGCTGGAGACTACCCACTCCCAGCAGACTCTGTACTGTCTCCCTGAGCATCCCCATCTCTGCAGCTTCCTGCTGCTCTTTATAGGAGAATCCGGTTCTCCATACCCAGTTGGTTCTACTAATTAAATCATACACCTGATCCCAAGTGTGACATCTAAAGCTAACTGTATGGGGCTGACCAGCACCAGGCCTCTGGCCCTTTAAGGGCAGGCCACCCCATCATATGAATCGAGGAATTTACTTTATGCCTTTAGTATTTTCCACTCAAAATAAATAATAATTGTTAATAATGATTAGCTAGAGCACAAGTATTCTATGACACCATCTATAAAGTGGGTGCCAATTTCACTCGGTTAAGATGTTTGAGAGTTCAATAAGAAAGCACTTTACGTTTAGAAAATGATTTGTCATACACTAGCTGACAACATGACTTTCTTAACACTTCCTGAAACAAGTGGTAGAAACAAAATATCTCAAGGTTTCTTAAGAACAAAGCAGTCCCAGTAAATCACTTAACATTGCGTGCAACAGCTGAACTCACCAGTCTTCTCAGCCCTGTGTTTTGGGCTTTCTTGTTCTGGAAGACATGGGCAGGGCCCCTCACATCGCGCTGCGATAGTTTTGTCAGAAGTACAAGCATGAAACTCCAACTTGCACTGTAATTGCAAGAAAACAGGAATGTACATTGGAGAAATCACACTTAGCCATACTAATATTTGACAGATTAAAAAATTCATCCTTTACTAAAGGTGTTATGATTTTTAATTAATAACAATACCTACTTCTTATATAGTGCTTGTCATCAGTAGATCTAAAAGTACTTTTCAAAGTATCATTATCCCCATTTAACAGATGAGGCAACTGAGGCATGAGGTGACTTGCCCAGGGTCACTCACCAGGTCCAGTGGCGGAGCTCAGAATAGACCCCACGTCTTCTAAGTTCCAGTCAGTGCTCTATCCACTAGACAACACTGCCATACTTCAAATATGCAGTTCTAATTTAAAATCAAGCTAGTCTCTGCGACCTGTTTATCACGGACTGCTACAGCTAATATCACTCATACAGCAGTACAGATTAATGACCTGGTCCCGGGAGGTGCTGACTGCTCTCAACTTCCAATGAAGTTAATGGGCTGCACTGAGTCAAAGATGAAATTCCACTCCACACAATAGTGGGCCAAAGGGAGTTGAGAGCATTCAGCACTTTGCATGTGAGAGATCAACCCCTAACCAACATGAGTAGTTCTTCAATGTGCAGCCTTCCGCGGGACTCCTCATATGAGGAAGGTTTCAATCATTCATACAAAATATATCTATGGGCTAGATTCTAAGTTGCCTGAACAACTGTTTAAAATCCCTCTCCATAAAAGCAGAGTAACCACTGAGCGATGTAGCCAAATCCAGAAATGTAACAGGACCACTAGCCAATCAATTATAAAAAATTAAAATAGGCCCCCCTGTAAGAAGGTAAGTAAATTGGGCAGTTTCCCCATACCCTCAGTCCTCCTCCAACAGCCTGAGCAAACAGATGGGCTTTGCAGCATATCTTGAAAATCAGGAGATTCCAGATCTTTAGGGCAATGGGGCTTGGGAAGCTTTGGATCCAAAGGGAGGCAACTAAGGAAAACTATTGTTTCATAAATGTGCTAATAAAAAAGTGGAGGTCCATAATGTACTTACCATTCATTGCCTTTACTGTTAGAATTACATGTATTGTACCACTGATTTCCTTTTAACAAAGAATGTATTTTCAATTGTCCTCCCTGATCCAAAGATCTTTTCCCCACATTGAACATTACAACAATAAGAAGAGCTGATCATACAAGGTGCCAGATAAGGTGGACTAACCCACGACCAGGGTTGCCAACTTTCTAGTTGCACAAAACTGAACACCCTAGCCCCGCCCCTTCCCTGAGGCCCCACCCCTCCCCGCCTCTTCCCTGAGGCCCCGCCCCCCACTCACTACATTCCCCCTCTCTCGGTGGCTCGCTCTCCTCCACCCTCACTCACTTTCACTGGTCTGGGGCAGGGGTGGGGCCGTGGATGAAGTGCTTGGGGTGCAGGAGGGGCTCCAGGCTGGGGGGTGGGGCTGAGGGATCTGGAGTGCAGAAGGAGGCTGCGGTTAGAGGCAGGGGGTCAGGGTGCAGGAGGGAGTGGGGGTGAGGGCTCTGGGGTGCAGGAGGAGGCTCAGAGCTGGGGGTTGGAATGCAGGAGGGGATATGGGCTCTGGGCTGGGGTTCAGGGTATGGGAGGGGGCTTTAGGCTGGGGCAGGGGGGGTGAGGGCTCTGGGGTGGGGCCGGGGATGAGTGGGTTAGGGTGTGGGAGGGGGCTCTCAGCTGGGTGTTGGCTTACCTCGGACAGCTCCCGGTCAGCGGTGCAGCGGGGGGGCTAAGGCAGGCTGCCTGACTGTCCTGGCACTGCGTTGTGCGCACCCCGGAAGGAGCCAGCTGGTCCAGGTCCTAGGTGTGTGTGTGTGTGTGGGGGGGGGGGCAGGAGGCTCCACACGCCACTCTCGCCCGCAGGCACCCCCCACCCGCATTGGCCAGTTACCGGCCAATGGGAGTGCGGAGTCAGTGCTTGGGGTGGGGGCAGTGCGCAGACCGGACCTGCTGGCTGCTTCCGGGACACAGCGCGGTGCCAGGACAGGTAGGGACTAGCCTGCCTTAGCGCCGCAGCACCGCTGGCCGGACCAAAAACCAGACACCTGGTCACCCTACCCACGACTAAAATGTTATTAATGATAAAACACTGATTTTTATTAGAGAAATTCTGATTTTTTCCTTTTTTTAAAAGTAGGTCTGAGTGTTTAGGACCCAGCTGCAGTGACACAATACGTTCTGAAATGCACAGATTGATTAAAAGTCTGTAATGTTACCCAATCAGAATGCAGTGGACAAACGTAGCTTCTGCAGCAAAATCCACTGAACAAAATGACAGCATCTTTTATTATGTTGGTACAATAGAAGCAGAGTGAATGGAATAGGATGTTGTTACAAGATAAATGCCCCCTACTTTGAAAATACTGTAAATATCTTCTTGCCTCTGCTTATTTTTTGTTGCAAGGGCTCCGCTTTGCCCAGGCTTTAATCTAGCAGCAGGAGACCATTATCCTGTGACTACATCCTATTCCATCAACATTATCTCAGGCCCATTTTGAACTTCAATGCACCCTGGTGGTTGTATGCTCTGTATGATGTCCTGCCCTTCTGATTTAGAAAATGCATGGACGTGCATACACATGTGGCTTGGCTTAGCTTGAGCTTTATAGTACTTATTTCATGCATGGCTATGGGGAATAGAAGTACATATTTTTCACCTTTATGAAAAAGGCATACACACAATTGCTTAATTTATGCCGACTGTGCAAAACATATGCAACGAAAAGCAGCTGAGGAGGAAGGGGAATGCTCCCTGATTAAACTGTCCTGGAACTGAAGGCCCTCTCTGTACAGCCTGTTCTTTATATTCAAGATGTTACTGAGAATACAGCAATAAATCTTTCTGCAGCTGAAGTTCCTGATGACTTAACCCATTACAGCTCAATTAATTACCTGTTTTATTAGCTATAATAAATGCAAATTATGTATCATAGCATTAGCAATTATAATTCTAATACTTATTTATTCTTAAGCTGGTAAGACCAATTTCAAACCCATTATCACAATCTGTTAAGAAAGAAAGATAGATTAGTTTCTGGAAATGTTAAGGGTAGTTTTTCATGGCTTTCCTTTCTACTGCTAAACAAAAACCACCACCAACCCAAAAACCCAGTGAGGAAACTGGAATCTGATTAAAACAGAGTAGTTCTATGATAAGAATGTACCAGGATAAGAATGAGGTCGCTGAAGGACACAATTCTGCAAACACTTACACACTTGAGTAACTTCACACACGTGCAATCCCATTCTCACGCTACTCATGTGTGAAGGTAGCTATACGCATGTTTTGTGGGACTGGGGCCTGAGAATGGCCAAATTCTAAATATTAAGTTAGACTGATGCCAAATGCAGAATAGGGTCATTCAAGACACAAATATGCCAGTCTCTTTAAATGTTTTCAGTTCCCTAAAAAAAAAAAACTCCAGGGAGATTGTTTATTTCCCCTAGGGTATGCTATTGCCCTAATCATGGAATCATAGGACTGGAAGGGACCTCAAGAGGTCATCTAGTTCAGTGCCCTGTGCTCATGGCAGGACTAAGTATTATCTAGACCATCCCTGACAGGTGTTTGTCTAACCTGCTCTTAAAAATCTCCAGTGATGAAGATTCCACAACCTGCCTAGGCAATTTATTCCAGTGCTTACCCACCCTGACAGTTAGGAAGTTTTTCCTAATGTCCAACCTAAAACTCCCTGTTACAATTTAAGCCCATTGCTTCTTGTCCTATCTTCAGAGGTTAACGAGAACAATTTTTCTCCCTCCTCCTTGTAACAACCTTTTATTTTAGCAACCTGTTAACTTTGAAAACGGTTATCATGTTTCCTCTCAGTCTTCTCTTCTCCAGACTAAACAAACCCAATTTTTTCAATCTTCCCTCATAAGTCTTGTTTTCTAGACCTTTAATCATTTTTGTTGCTCTTCTCTGGACTCTTTCCAATTTGTCCACACCCTTCCTGAAATATGGTGCCCAGAACTGGACACAATACTCCAGTTGAGGCCATATTAGCACAGAGTAGAGTGGAAGAATTACTTCTCGGGTCCTGCTTACAACACTCCTGCTAATACATCCCAGAATGATTTTTTTTTTGCAGCCGTGTTATACTGTTGACTCATATTTAGCTTGTGGTCCACTATGAACCCCAGATCCCTTTCCGCAGTACTCCTTCCGAGGTAGTAATTTCCCATTTTGTATGTGTGCAACTGATCGTTCCTTCCTAAGTGGAGTATTTTGCATTTGTCCTTATTGAATTTCATTCTATTTACTTCAGACCATTTCTCCAGTTGTCCAGATCATTTTGATTTTTAACCCTATCCTCCAAAGCACTTGCAAACCCTCCCAGCTTGGTATCATCTGCAAACTTTATAAGTGTACACTCTATGCCATTATTTAAATCACTGATGAAGATATTTAAAATGACCGGACCAAGAACTGATCCCTGCATGCTCGACTGTGAGCCACTGATAATTACTCTCTGGGATGGTTTTCCAACCAGTTATGCGCCTATCTTAGAGTAGCTTCATCTAGGTTGTATTTCCCTAGTTTGTTTATGAGAAGGTCATGCGAGACAGTATCAAAAGCCTTACTAAAGTCAAGATATTCCACATCTATCGCTTCCTCCCTACCCACAAGGCTTGTTACCCTGTCAAAGAAAGCTATACGGTTGGTTTGACAGAATAATCAAAAGACCACAACCTTATTCCACATATAATGTGGAATTTTTAATGTGCTGGTTTTTAATGACATCACCTGCATCAAAACAGGTGGAGATCAGAGCAAGGCAGGTCACAGAGAATTTCAGATGGAGGAATAATAAGGCTGCAGTCTACACCACTATCGTGTCTGCATTCCAGGAATACATGAAGGAAAGATCTCTCAGCCCTCCCCAAACCACAGATCCTGCATCATTAGTTCCATAGAGAAATATAAATCCCCTTCTTCCTCTTGCTTTCTCCTCATACAGCAAATAAAGAAAAAAAAATTCTCACTACATAGCAG